TATTACCTTCAACTTATCATACATTTCTTGCTCTGATTTAGCGGATACTAGACAATCATCTAAATAACATTGTACCCCATTTATACATTTTAGTATTTGATTAATTACGGACTGATATATGTGAGGTGCAGTTTTGATTCCAAATGCTAACCTCTTATATCTAAACAGACCAATAGGTGTGTTGACTATTAAGTAACTTTTACTATCTTCACTTATTTTTAACTGAAAATATGCATTCTTTAAATCAATTACTGAAAATACACAACCTTCTGAAATAGAAGCAAATATTTCATCCACTGTGGGTAAAGGATAATAATTATTTTCTACAACAGGATTTATGGTATTTTTAAAATCTCCACATATACGTATTTCCCCATTTGTTTTTGGTACTATAACAATAGGACTAGCCCACTCAGATGTTTCCACTGATTCTAAAATATCACTTTTGACCAACTCATTTATTTCCATTTCCACCTTATCTTTCAATGCAAAGGGAATTCTATATGGTTTACTAAACTTCGGTACTGACCCTTCTATTATTTTATTATTTGCAACAAAATCTTTTATACAATGATTTTTATTAAATACTTCATTATAATCTTTTAATAACTCCTCCAATAGGATGTTAGTTTCAATATTTACTTTATGTACTTTAAATACTTTTTCAGGTTTAAAATAGGATTTCCATCCTGGTAATAATACATTTAACCATGACCTACCTAGTAAACAAACTTGAGATTTAAATTCTACTATTTTTAAATTTAATTTTGTTGTAATACTACCAAATTGTACTTTTACATTAGCACGTAAAACGTTGTCCTGTACTTGACCAAACAAAGTTTTTAATTTAATATTCGATTTGCCTAACTCTACATTGGGGAATAGTTTTTTAAAAGTTTCAAATGATATTAGAGTGCTATCAGACCCTGTATCTACTTCAAAAGTCAATACCTTATTTTCTATAACTAATTCCAACATAATAGGCTCACATCTTGGACTACCTACTAATTGGTTAACTGTTTCCTCTACCTGGGTTGTCCACTTAACTTCAAATTCCTCACTTTCCAGGGTGTCTTCTTCTTCTTCCACAAAATGAACTCTTCCTCTACATAGGGGTGATTTTGCTGTGTGACCCATCACATTACATGTAAAACACCTCCAAGACTTTGCTGGATATTTTGTTGGGTCATTATGAAATCTAAGACATCTCTGACATGGACTTTTTCCATTTGGTGTGATTTTAATTGATGTCTTTCTGACTGGTTATTCCGAAATTTATTATGATTGACGCTTGAGGAGGCCTCTGGATACTTGTTACTTTTACCTTTATAAGTAGAGACTTTATTTATGACTTCTGAACTACTTATAGCCTTTGCCTGGCCTTCAGCTAACTCCATACTTAGTGCAATTTTGACAGCTTTCCCATATGTTAAATCTTCCTCTGATAAAAGTTTCCTTCTAATCGCCTCCGATTTCAAACCACAGACAAACTTGTCCCTAAGCGCCTCTGTCAGGAATGCACCAAACTCCGCATATTTTGACAATTTCTTTAGATTTTTCATAAAAGAAGTTAGATCTTCTGAATTATCTTCCGAACAATTGTAAAATTTATATCTCTCCGCAATAACTAATCTTTTTGGACTATAATGATCTTTTATTATTTTCTCCAGTTCGGCATATTTTTTTGTACTAGGTATTTCAGGTGACAACAAATCTTTTATCACCGCATATGCTTCTCCACCAATTAACGTCAAAAATAAGGGCACTTTTTTATTTTCTCCGATTTCGTTGCACACGAATAACTGTTCTATTCTCTCCAAATAACTAGCAATATCATCTTCCTTGGACTTAAATGCCTCAATTGAACCAATTAGCGCAATTGTTTTCCCTTGTGGATTGTGCACGTGCACACAAACGATTGTACAGACTTGTTTACTATTTTGACAAAAAAAAAACTTTGGGATTATCCTCTTTTTATCCCATCCTCGTCGCCAATATGTTATGTATTAATAATACTCAGACTGGTTGCAACTTAACGTTTATTCCAATACGATAACAAAACATGGCCATTTCCTAAATACGACTAAACTAAAAACTACTGAATGACAACTGTCACAACTACTTGGCTCTGTCCCTAGTTCCGTTCACGGTTACTAGTGACAGGGTGCTTACACATATATAATACCTTCTTTGGTTGCAATTATTAAGTGCTAGGAGCTGGCACTTGTGGATTCAAAAAATGAATGTAATTTTTTGCTTTTAGTCATTGCATTAGCTGCCAATGTGTGTTTCTTCTTTCCCAAATAAGCTTTAATATTACTTCGTTGGAAATATCAACGTCACTTTTACATATTTCACAATAAATAATAAGCGGCGATGAGACAGACTTGACTTTCATAAAAGTAGAACCCCCTCTGTGGATCAGTGGTAAGAGCGCCTACCTTTAAACCTAAAGGTCGTGAGTTCGAATCTCATCTGGGTGGAGACATTTTCATTTATTAAAAATTAATGAATGAAAATAGTTTCTATCCTTGTGCGATCGGTACTCACCAGAGGGATCGCAGACGTTCGGATACAATTAGCGTCTCTTAGCAAAGACAATGACGTCGACTTTGCTAAGTATCAAGACAATTACTCTACACACACACACACACACACACACACACACACACACACACACACACACACTACACTAGGTACCTGACTATACCATGCCAATGATCATAGTTGTCGAGGCATTAACCCAATAAAAAAAAAGTGTAATCCTTTTGCAGTTCTGCATAAAATGGCATTTTCGTCGAGGCGGAGACATATTTTATATAAATTCTAAAATGTTTTGCAAAAAAACACTAATAACAGTACAGTAGTACAATACGTAACACTTCAACAGTTCAACACCATACCGATGTGATGAATGACAAACCATACTATTCGATATTCGGCAACTGTCGAAGCCGAAGGTCATTATCTGAATGTTTGTTCGCAAGTTACACAGTGGGCCAAAATTTCAGTAAAAGTGCCAAAGAGAATTAATTGAGAACAGTCTAAAATAATTGTTTAAACATAGTAAAAGATAAAAATATTTTTTCTTTTAGATAAAATCAGTACATTCATGTGTCCTTAGAAAGGGTTTAAAGTACATTAGGACAATATTTAAAAATAAAAACTGTCCTACTTAAATAAGTACATATGGTCACTATTACACTTCAGAATTGTGTGAGTATTAATGTCACAGTATTCAGAGTGTAGGCATTAATCTGTATCTGTCTTTGCGAATCTATAAAGATATGACCTAAAGTACCCATGTCCTGTGATCACTTACGTCTGGAAGTAATCCAGTCGCCTGTAACCACAGTCCACCCAGTCCATTAGGGTCGGGATCAGCATCTTGGTCCACTGAGCAACATCTTCTGTGTTGTTCCACTCTTCTTGACATCTTTCTATTGATCTTTCTCCTTCTTATTTTTTTATGGCTGCTGTCAAATATTCTCTTCTCTTATAGAGATGTCTCCTTTCTACTGCTAACACATGCAGAGAAACACAACCCGTTATAGTCCACAGGGCCGACGCAGATACAGTCCTATAGGCACATTCTACTCGCAACAGACTTGTTCTGTCACTCCCAGATATTTGACGCATTTCTTTGATGTTAGTTGTATCCCTCCACATTGAAGTTCCATCCCTTGTCGTTTCCATTTACGCTTTAGAATGATGGCTTCGCCCTTCTCTCTGGTGCGAGTTCTAGTCCGTGATCTGTCATCCAGTCTTTAACGACGTTGTTCGTATGTCTTACACGAAATCAAAAATCGGGCTCGTCCCTAGCTACTATCAGCACAGCGAGATCATTCGCAAAAGCGAAGAAGTTATACCTTCTCCATATTTGCAGTTTCCATAGCGTCAGACAAAAGATAGATACCTGTGGGACTCCAGCCCTTACCTCAACGAGCGTGGTCTTCTCAACCATGATCTTTCTCTCGTAAAGATATTTCGCCATCACATTCATCAGATAGTTCAGACACTCGTTCTCTTCCAATGCTCGCATCGCCTCTTTAACTGCAGAGTATTAAATGCATTTCTAACATCGAAGAGCAGCAGAGCCACCTAGCGCTGTTCGTCCCCAATTATGTACAATGCCTCGATTACATACAAAATTGCGTCAACTGTGCTCTTCCCTTTGCAGAATTCGAATTATCTCGGGGATAGGCCTCCTGATCTCTCAATCGTGTCTTCGATCCGTCCTCGCAGCATTCTCTGTACAACTTTTCGATGCATGGGAGGAAACATAATATGTGGCGATATTTCTCCCCAGTTTTGGAAAGCAATATCAACTTTGATGTCCTCCAAGCTTTAGAAAATGTCTGTGCTTCAAGAAATGCATTTATATGCTACAAAAGCCACCCAGGTTCCTCGCGTCCTAGACCCTTTACCGCTTTGGGCGGTATCCGGTCTAGTCCGGGGGACCTACGTTTCTTAAGTGCATCCAATGCTTTGACTATTTTATCTATGGTAAAGGGTACGGCTCGCTCAGCTACCTCGTTCCTCCATACTCCATGCCATCTGCCGGACGGAAAAGCTCTCGTGTTACCTTAAGCTTTTTGTCTAGTGGTATTTCGTATGAGGGGTACGCATGGAACATTTAAGATTCTTTTAAGAACTCTAAGGGAGAGCGCCCACCAAAGTGGCGTGGCAGTGGCAAGTAGCAAGTAGCACGCGTCTAGCATAATGTAACCAATCCTAACGAATGATTAGAATGAATGACGTTACTGTCATTTTGGTGTAAACTGAATCATTCGTTTTCATTGGTTACATTATGCTAGACGCGTGCTACTTGCTACTTGCCACTGCCACGCCACTTTGGTGGGCGCTCGCCTTTAAGCGGCAGCGTAAACAAACCTTCTAGGAGAAGGAGCATTCCAGAATCAAAATCCCGGGCATCCATGTAGGAGTTTAAGGCATCGGGCTAACCCCCTATTACGGTACTAGTATATAATAGGTACTTTCAAAATTAAAAATTTTATTAATACAATAAATTTATTGAAATATAAATAGTCATATATTACAACTTTATAATGACATATTTAAACTAGAATTGTAACTAATTACTTGCAAACTTTAGCGTCGTGTGAACATACCAGCTGTTCTGAATCGAAGTATTCGTTAGCTTGGCAGGACATTGGAATTGCTGCTCCGTTATTACAAGCTATGAATTTTGTGCAGTCACTTGGATCGGGGGCAAAGAATAATGAATCCGGATTCTGCTCACATATATTAAGGGGCGTTTCTGGTTGTTCTGTAGTTTGCTCTTCATTGTCGTTTTTCTTAAAATAATAATTTCAAATTAGAAATACGTTAAAGTAATATAAATCGAATCAATATATACAATACAAGCCTAGATTCTTCCAGGCACAGGCAGCTACTAATAATATTCTGAATTTATAAAACCTACATTAAGGAGACATGCCTACATTAAAATTAGACGCTGTAGTTATTTTACATAAATAACAATATATGGTATCTGGTACAAGCACTGAGACTTTCTAATACATAAGAAAAAGAGACATTCTAATACATTGGACATTCTAGTTACCTCATTATTTTCAGATCCTCCAGTCACCTTTTCCGGAGCATCAGTGGCGTTATCAGGTTCTGGTTTGGGTTCAGGCTCTCGTTCAGTACTTGGTTTAGGTTCTGGTTCAGGACTTGGTTCGGGTTCTGGTTGTGGTTCAGGTTGTGGTTCCGGTTCTGGTTCAGGACTTGGTTCGGGCTCTGGTTCTGGTTGTGGTTCAGGTTCTGGTTCTGGCTGTGGTTTAGGTTCCGGTTCTGGTTGTGGTTCAGGTTCTGGTTCAGGACTTGGTTTTGGTTTCGGTTCTGGCTGTGGTTCAGGTTCTGGTTCAGTACTTGGTTCGGGTTTTGGTTCTGGACTTGGTTCGGGTTCTGGTTCAGGACTTGGTTCTGGTTTTGGTTCTGGCTGTGGTTCAGGTTCTGGTTCAGGACTTGGTTCGGGTTCTGGTTGTGGTTCAGGTTCTGGTTCTGGCTGTGGTTCAGGTTCTGGTTGGGGACTTGGTTCTGGTTCTGGTTCTGGCTGTGGTTCAGGTTCTGGTTCAGGACTTGGTTTGGGTTCTGGTTCTGGTTGTGGTTCAGGTTCTGGTTCTGGCTGTGGTTCAGGTTCTGGTTTTGGTTGCGGTACAGGTTCTGGTTCAGTACTTGGTTCAAGTTCTGGTTCAGTACTTGATTTAGATTCAGGTTCTGGCTGTGGTTTAGGTTCTGGTTCTGGTTGTGGTTCAGGTTCTGGTTCAGGACTTGGTTCTGGTTTTGGTTCTGGCTGTGGTTCAGGTTCTGGTTGGGGACTTGGTTCGGGTTCTGGTTCTGGCTGTGGTTCAGGTTCTGGTTCCGGACTTGGTTCGGGTTCTGGTTTTGGTTGTGGTTCAGGTTCTGGTTCAGGACTAGGTTCAGGTTGTGGTTCCGGTTCTGGTTCAGGATTTGGTTCGGGCTCTGGTTCTGGTTCAGGTTCTGGTTCTGGCTGTGGTTCAGGTTCTGGTTGGGGACTTGGTTCGTGTTCTGGTTCTGGCTGTGGTTCAGGTTCTGGTTCTGGCTGTGGTTCAGGTTCTGGTTGGGGACTTGGTTCGGGTTCTGGTTCTGGCTGTGGTTTAGGTTCTGGTTCCGGACTTGGTTCGGGTTCTGGTTCTGGTTGTGGGTCAGGTTTTGGTTCAGGACTAGGTTCAGGTTGTGGTTCCGGTTCTGGTTCAGGACTTGGTTTGGGTTCTGGTTCTGGTTGTGGTTTAGGTTCTGGTTCTGGCTGTGGTTCAGGTTCTGGTTGGGGACTTGGTTCGGGTTCTGGTTCTGGTTGTGGTTCAGGTTCTGGTTCAGGACTTGGTTCGGGTTCTGGTTCTGGCTGTGGTTCTGGCTGTGGTTCAGGTTCTGGTTCCGGACTTGGTTCGGGTTCTGGTTCTGGTTGTGGTTCAGGTTCTGGTTCAGGACTAGGTTCAGGTTGTGGTTCCGGTTCTGGTTCAGGACTTGGTTCGGGTTCTGGTTCTGGTTGTGGTTCAGGTTCTGGTTCTGGCTGTGGTTCAGGTTCTGGTTGGGGACTTGTTTCGTGTTCTGGTTCTGGCTGTGGTTCAGGTTCTGGTTCCGGACTTGGTTCGGGTTCTGGTTCTGGTTGTGGTTCAGGTTCTGGTTCAGGACTAGGTTCAGGTTGTGGTTCTGGTTCTGGTTCAGGACTTGGTTTGGGTTCTGGTTCTGGCTGTGGTTCAGGTTCTGGTTTAGGACTAGGTTCAGGTTGTGGTTCCGGTTCTGGTTCAGGACTTGGTTCGGGTTCTGGTTCTGGTTGTGGTTCAGGTTCTGGTTCTGGCTGTGGTTCAGGTTCTGGTTGGGGACTTGGTTCGGGTTCTGGTTCTGGTTGTGGTTCAGGTTCTGGTTCAGGACTAGGTTTAGGTTGGGGTTCCGGTTCTGGTTTAGGACTTGGTTCGGGCTTTGGTTCTGGTTGTGGTTCAGGTTCTGGTTCTGGCTGTGGTTTAGGTTCCGGTTCTGGTTGTGGTTCAGGTTCTGGTTCACTACTTGGTTCTGGTTTTGGTTCCGGTTGTGGTTCAGTACTTGGTTCGGGTTTTGGTTCTGGACTTGGTTCGGGTTCTGGTTGTGGTTCAGGTTGTGGTTCCGGTTCTGGCTGTGGTTCAGGTTGTGGTTCAGTACTTGGTTCGGGTTTTGGTTCTGGCTGTGGTTCAGGTTTTGGTTCAGGACTTGGTTCGGGTTCTGGTTGTGGTTCTGGTTCTGGTTCAGGACTAGGTTCGGGTTCAGGTTCTGGTTTGGGTTCAGGTTCTCGTTCAGTGCTTGGTTCAGGTTCTGGTTCTGGCTGTGGTTCTGGTTCTGGTTCAGGACTTGGTTCGGGTTCGGGTTCTGGTTGGGGTTCAGGTTCTGGTTCAGTACTTGGTTCAGGTTCTGGTTCTGGTTCTGTACTTGGTTCAGGTTTTGGTTGCGGCTGTGGTTCAGGTTCTGGTTCAGGACTTGGTACAGGTTCTGGTTGGGGTTTCGGTTCTGGTTCAGTACTTGGTTCAGGTTCTGGTTCTGGCTGTGGTTCAGGATTTGTGGTTTGTGAGTCACAGAGACCAGCTCTGGGCCAGTTGCAGCCAAATATGTCAGGATCAAATACGGTTCCCGGGGCGCAAGGCATTTCTTGAAGTCCATATGGAGTACATACATAGTAGTAGTTACAATTAGGGTGAGCGAATGGAAGAGTTTCGGTACATGCTGATCCTAATAACACTTTGGTCGCTGCAGTTATAAAAATTATATTACTTTCTAGAAAATTATATTAATAAATTTGAAAATATCGTTATAACTATTTCAAGATAGTTACGATTTGGTAACAAATGACATATACAACTATATATCTAGTTAACGCAATTAAACTTATATTATAGATGACGACCAGACCAGACGAACTCTATTAGCGGCACCAGCAGCAAATAAAAGTAGAGATAGACCAAGACTGAGATGGAGGGATGCTGTAGATGAGGACGCGAGGAAGATAACTGGCAAAGGTTGGCGATGATAAAAAAACGACTGGCGAAATAGACTGGGAAAGGTCGGGGATCAACTAGACTACACTGCTTGAAATGAGATATAATCGTTTTCATCGTTCTTGGCGTGTGCGTGTAAAAATACTTGCAATAAGTTGTTTCATCTGTCTTTTCTTGTCTAAGCTCGATTCGTTTACCTCCTCCAGTGGCGGAGCAAAATGTAGGATGTCAAACGAAATAATAGTTATAAAAGAAAATTATAAATTATTTTTCATTAAATTTCTAATAACGGAATATACGTATAAATTGCGAAGAAGTATTTTTCTAGCTTGCAGTACAATAGGACAGGATATAACGAATAATGGATTTTAGAAGAATTTTGAAATATACCCAAAAAAGTGATTATTTAACCCACTTTAATTAAAAAATGATACAGATTTTTTAAGTTTTAAGCATTGTAGCGAATTCTGAACTGTTACAACGTACTGACCTTGATTAATTAGCTAATCAGTCATCGTCTTCACTGGAACTGTCTTCATCATTGGAATCTTCCGCCAAATCGATGATAATCCTACTTTCATTTTCATCATATGTGACCATTTTTGCCCAGTAGTCCTGAATTAATTTTTCAGTATGGTTAACACAACTCGCCCACACTGCAGGTGTTGCCTCAGCTAATGCGTCGCCCCAAACTTTTTTCACTGTTTCATCTCCACGTCCGTGTTCTCCAATATGACGATCACAGTATTGTTTAGAAATGCCCCAGGCCAACTCAATCGTATTATATTGACAGTGATATGGAGGCAATCTCAAAACCTGATGCCCATGTTCTTGGAGTAGCTCGTCTATAACGTATCTGGTATTTTGTGGTTTATTCTGGCGACAAAGACTCAATAGCTCTGTCTTACCCGAATCATCATCAAAAATAATTTTTTTCGCTCGTAACTATTCTTGTAAGTCCCATTTTTTCCAACTGGCATTCGGTAACTTTTCTATTAAAGAGCTATGCTATGAGGTAATCCATAATAATTAGAGATGGTTCCTTCAACATTGGTATTAGCTTTTTGGAGACCCACTTTTTAAAAGACTCTTTATCTATAGAATCATGATAGTCTGCACTCTTCGATTTCGTAGAAAACAGCAATCTAGCATCTTTAACAAATCTTTGCCTTTTTCCGGCATGTAAAACAACAAACCTGTATTTTCGTATCCTTTTCTGATGCTTTTTACACAGTCATCTTGTCAAGTACGTTTATATGCCCCTTTTAGGAATACCGATGTTTCATCTAAAAAAACGAACTGAAGTGGGCTTGGACTTAAAAAATTTCTCATATAATGCCTTAAAAAATACAGTCGTTTGGAGACAATACATGGTCTCTCACATAGCACTCGTCTACTATCTTCTAGTTTGTATGAAAACCCACAATTTTTCATAAGACGCCACAAACTTGTATCAGAGCCGTCATAGAGATGCTTGTTTCTTAATTGTGTATTTAGAACTTTAATTGTAACGTGCTCTCCTTTTGCTTTCATGCCATACGGTACATTTCTAATCTCTCCTTTTATAGTATCGCTCACATCATTAATCATCATTAGAAAGAAAAGGTCCGTTGTTTTCATTTTCTTTTTTAAAATACTCCAATAAATGAACTACACATTGTCGCATTTCTCCTGTTATCGTTTTTCCCGGCATTTTTTTTATTAAATAGAACAATTAGTTATTCACAACAAAAAATAATAAGTAAAATTGTTCGGAACAAATTCCAACAATGACTGACTAAAATCGACTAAAACAACATAAAATATCAATGGTAATTGCTACAATTATAAACCTATTAGCCAGCTCATTCAAGAAAAATGCCACAAGTCATTATTGCAATGGGTATCGGAAGAGAGAGAGTTAATTTATAATAAACTGGAATTTTTAAGGTGTCGAGAGTATTATTTTATGTAATGGAATTCCACACAGTAAGAGCTCAAACTATTAATTATTTAAAAACTGTTTACTTATAAAAACTATTTCATCAGTTACTTCAAATCTGCACAGATCAGGGTAACATGTTAAAAAAAAACACGTCACTGCCAGCTATCTGTATTCGTAAAGAGGCCGAACTTATCACGACGAACGTGACTCGCACAATTGAATTACGCATCTGTGTATCAGAGAGAGACGAATATTAAAAATTCCGTAGTAGCTTATTTCAGGCACACGCCAAGAACGATGAAAACGAGTATATAACGGATTGACATATATGGCAACTTGTTACCGAAAAATAAAATAATCATCTAACTTTGTTTTTGTCATTTTTTATCACATTCTGGAATGTTAACTGTTCTGAACAATAAAGTAATGTATTTTATTATATGAAAAATTATAGAAAGAAAAATAAGGGAATACTGGAATAAGGGAATCAAAAGTGAGCTATGATTTCCAGGCGAAAAATGAACAAATTAATTTGCATAAAAATTAATCGGTGTCGTATAAAAAATGAGGTAGAACTGCAGAAACAGATATATTAATTACAATTCAAATCATAACTTCACTGCTAAAAAAAAGGTTAATCATATTATTCAAACGAAAATAGTTTTAAAGAAAAAACATCTTATAAAATGTGTTCTTTATAAAGAATTATACAATCTCTATAAAAATTATACAAACGAACAAAATTGTAAGCGAAATTTTATAATTAACCATCATAAGGGCCATTAACAATCGAGATATTTTAACTCGTGAACGGAGCGAGCGCGTTCATGTTCGAGATTGTTATTTGCCATTTTAATTCACGAGCTCGTTACAAAACTTTTCCGTCGACCGTACTTTTCAGAAATAAAGATATCTTAGTTTAAATTTTTATTTACTTAAAGATAAACAACAATTTTTTTAGCTTTCATTAACTTTATTCAAAGTTTTCCTTAGTGGTAGTTTTATTATTGTAAACATTAATATTCGAAATCGTACAATTACTGAAATTAAAGAAAGGTATTGATGAAAGGTATAAATGATTATCTGCTGTATAGCATTTTGACAAATTTATATTTAAGTATTCTTTGGACCTCTGTAAATTCTGTGATAGAAGAAGAAGCGGTGGTGCTGAAGGAAGTACTTTGACAAGGTTTAGTGGTATTTTGCCCAAGAGTTTTTAGCCGTCTCAATATTCTGAATAGAATTGCACCTAGTCTTTTAATAGCTGAAAAGTCTGCACCACTGTCACACAGTATTGAGGCAGAGGAACGTCTAAAACAATGCCCAGTGTAGAGATGCGGGTTCTCTAATTTTAAGAATTTAGCAGTAAAGGAAGGAATTTTGGAAAATTTATTTATGCCAACTGGTTGTGTTGTGCCATTTGTTATTTTTATGAAAAATCAAAAATCGTTTATGCGGTGTGTGTGCCGGTCTTAAAAAAATCCACTATTATAAATATTTTATTTGTATGTTTTTTTGATACTTTTATTGTGACAAGAAACTTTGACCCCAAGTCTTGAACGTTATTTGTTTCTAATGTCAATAGTTCGTCCTTTCTTAACGCACCAGCTAATCCGAAAATCAATGCAAACTACAAAATGAATACTTAATTTACTGGTTTACCTTTATCATTAGAAACACGTTGTTAGGAGCATTAGAGATGAATTTCTGGACTTGTTATTTTTCTGTTTCTTTTCTGTTCTTTTTTTCTTGATAAACATAATTAACTTATTATATTTAGATATATCAATGTTTGATTTTAAACTTAAGGTTGATTTTAGCATGGAATATTTGGGCCACAAACTTGTTATTAGTCCTTTTTCGATTATGTTTGAAAAATATGTCAACAATACAGATTCTGAATATCGTATTATTTTTCTCTCGTCACACTATGCAACAAATTCAGCGTATGTTTTTTCGTACAACACTCTGCTTTTTGCAGACAGTAAACTTAAAGATATTTTATTTGCAGTTTCTCCCACTTCTGGTGAAGTTAAATTAAACTCTTAGTCAATATCCATCTTTTGATTTTTTAAATATACCGAGTTTTAAACAATAAAGTAAATATTGACATACAATAACATATAGTACTAATAGCGGCTACTTCGTTTTAAATTTTTTAGTAGGAATATAAATAGGTATATGTTTGGTTGCCTACACCGCAGGTCACTGCCAATCATAGAGCGTTTAATTAATTTATGCAAGCAACATTGTTGCCTATAATGAAATCGTTCATTAATAGAAAATCATTTATTAATAGGGGTCATTAATAAATGATTTTGAGGGTGTTAAAATTGATCATAAATGGACGGTCGACGAAGAATAACACTTTCGGTATAATTTATTAAATCGAAAGTACCATTTTACACAACTTATACCGAAAATAGCTACTTTCAGAACTAATTTTTTCACTTTCGGGACGATTTTGGGTAGCTAGGTAACGGCTTTGACAGTAACATCAACTTTGTATTTTACTATGACAACGCTTGTCAAGCAAACACACCGCATCGTGGATTATTTTTGTATATTACAAAAATAAAAGGTGTACAATACTACCTATTGGTATTCACATTATCATGATCATCATCATCAGTCCATAGTCGTTCACTGCTGAACATAGACCTCCTCAAAAAACCTCTGTTCAGATCTATGTACAGTTGGTACAAATCCTCGTTATGTCGTCAGTCCATCTTGTGGGTGGTCTTCCCGGGTTTCATCTATCCGCTCTCGGTCTCCACACCAAGATTTTTTGGGTCACCTATTATCCTTCATTCTAGCGACGTGTCCTGTCCACCTCCATTTAATTTTGGCTATATGTTTTATAATGTCTTCTACACCACTTTTTCTACGGATTTCTTTGTTTCTTACCCTATCTCGCAACGTTATGCCTACCAATGATCTTTCAATTCTACGTTGCGTCACTTGTAGTTTTCGTGTGAATGTCCTTGTTAGGGTAAGTGTCTCTGCGCCCTATGTAGGATACACTGGTTAAAGTCTCTTCTTTTTAAGCTGATAGGTATATCACCTTTAAAAATATCACGCAGTCTTCTATATGCTGCACATCCCAGTGTTATTCTTCTTAACAGCTCAGCAGTTTGATTATCTCTGCTAATTTTTACAGTATGTCCAAGGTATATGTAGCTGTTAACAATTTCAATTTCGAACTCTTATAGCCTTAAAGGATGGCTCGGAACTAAATTAGTCATCATTTTTGTCTTTTGGTAGTTAATATTTAGACCTTCTTTACGTGTTGCATCGCTGAGTTTATTCAACATATCACTGGCAGCCTTTAGGTCATCTGAAATCAGAATAATATCATCTGGGAATCAATGATTAATCATCTCACCATCAATATGTATTCCTTTACTTTCCCATTCCAGTGCTTTCAAAGCATGTTCAAGTACAGTAATGAACAACAGGCGACATAGTATCTCCCTGTCGAATACCTCTCCTGATATGTATCTTATCGGTAGGACCGTGCAGATTTATAGTTATTGTAGCATTTCTGTATATATTTTCTATAATATTGGTGTACCTATAATCAATTCGACACTGCCAATGCCTTTAGAAGTGCGAGTAGTTCGATAGTATCAAACGCTTTATATAAGTCTATAAATGTTAGAACTAGAGGTCTATTGTATTCAATTTATTTTTCAATCAAGACTTTTATGCACTGTAGGTGGTCATTTGTATCGTAGTTTGGGCGAAAACCAGCCTGTTCTCTTGGCTGATATAGCTCAAATTTTACTTCCAATCAATTGGTATTCACATTTTTGGAAAAATCACCTACACTATTGCTGAATTTCTTAAATAACCGCATCCCAAAGAATACACCGGGCACTGTCTACAAAGGAGATCAGCCACTTTACTGGCTGATAGTGGTGGTATTATAGCCGACTTGAAAAGACACGGAGGATGAAAATAAACTAATGTAGCAAAGGGATACGTAGAAAAATCTTTAGGAAATAAAATTCACGTAGCTTCACAAACTGAAAATGGCCGCAACCAAGTTATTATCTCAAAAAATAGTAAAAGTACTGATACGTCTAACACTAATTTCAATACTGCCACTTCTGTTAATATTCCTAACAATATCAATGTTAATGCTAACAATTGTTATATTCATAAGTAGATTTTTCTAATGTTGAATTCACTGTAGTAACTTTTAAGTGTTTACTAAAAGTTCATAAGTAAAGTATATCCATATATTCTGCAGAATATAAACGGCTGCAGAAAAAATTCTAAAATGGCTGCAGAAAAAATATTGTACGTAATACGATCCAAAAGTAATTTTACGAGACTCGCAGGATTCGAGGACTCGTCTACGGCTCGCCATGGAACCTTCCTACTCGTCTCGTAAAATATCACTTTAGGAACTTGTTCTAACAATTCCTAATTGTTGTGGGTTTGGTTTGCGTGACCATTGCACAAATTAGCTGTGACATTTTCCAGGTATTAAGTAGGTATATCGTGAGTGTCCATTATTGGTTCATCTTGGCCATTATGTATACCACTGAGTTGTTTTCTACTAGTCCCAACAATTTCCCTAATTTTTTTGTGGAGATTGAATCTGTCGCCGAGTTTATATAGACTTTTAGTTTCGATGCAAAGTACAGGCTTTTTTCACCGCTATACCTAATTGTTTTTTTTTAGAAGAACAGTGTTGTTCACATCACTAAATCATTCTTTTATGACTTTTGAACATCATCCACTGTTGGCATATGAGAGAAACTATTGTTTATTTCTGTTGTAAATGCTTCTGTTGTATCGTTGTTTGTGAGTTTTCCAACGTTTAATAATGCTTTCTGGTTCAGGGGATTGTGGTCAGATTTTATGTCTGCTCCAGGTAATGCGAAAACCTTAATAATACCATTTCTGCACCTTCTATTTATTATACTAGACAATGGTTTCATTAACATTATCTCCTTGTTGACAATTGTCGTGTGTTTTCTTTTTTACTTTGTAGATTTCATGTTTGTTATCAGATTTTATCAGATTCTTCTGTGAGCTGCTCTTTTATAACAATGTCTGTGCCCTGAAATCTCCTTGCCGTTTTCTTTGATACAGTCCTAAAGTTATGAATTTTCTCTTCTGTTATATATCTTTAAATAAAAGAATCTCGGACTTTACGGATAATAGAAGATAAAAATCACTTAGGAAAAGACACCATTTATCATCTTTACGCAACAACAGATTCCGTCAGTAATAAAACTCACGATGAGAGAATTACTCGCGTAATTCAATCAGAAGATTCTGACAAGTACCTAGGAGGCCACTTCAATAGAAGATTAAACTTCACGAAGAACACCCAAGAATTTAATGAAAAGCAGTCCCAGCTTGGAGTTTTATAACAGAATCTAACCGGAAAAATTTGGAAAGAACAGAAACGACGTGTAATATATTACTCAACGGATCGATTGGTAGGACAGAATATCAAATGCTACCATTCGAGTACACACCACGGGAGGAGATGGATGAGAACATGATAAGGTACTTCTTCCAATAAGCTACAAGAAGAATTCTAAAGACCAGAGACAATAGAATTCAAATCCAGAGGATTTACAGAGAAAAACATAGACAGACCATTTAATCAGGGTCTAGCCAGGTGGTTGTCGAAGATAGTTAGTTAGGCAAGTAGGTACAGTGCCGAATATAGTATTAACAGAAAAATATGTCCTAAAGTTTATGAACAGAAATAATCAGGTGTCCGAAGAGGATATAAACCTTCTAAGCAATCGGTGCAGAGGCGGAACGTTGAAAAACAGAATGAAGGCTAAAATATTATAATATATTATTATAATAAACGTTTTTATTTATTTTGCTATTTTTTATTTTGTAACATGTTCGTGATTTTTACTTCAAAAATAATTCAAGCTTCAAAATAAATGAATGGCAATAATAGTTTGGTTGAGATTTGATTTATTATAATTATTTATTTATCATTTAATCAATAAAAATCTAAAATGTTACAACAAAATAATTTCAAAGCAATATACAGATATATTAATAAATAGAAATAAAAAGGTACTTACGCTTAGCCCCCGAAGTGGCCAAAAAGGCCAAAAAGCACAATAAAACAATTTTCATGAATGCGTATAGTAGGTCAAATATTAACTAAATATCTCTTCCTACCGAATCAAGAAAACTTATGAATGGTGTATTTTTTCTTCGAATTATATACTAAAATATTATCTATGTTTTTAGACAATAGTATAATCCTCTATCAATAAATAAATAAGAAGGAAAGGTTGTAAATCAGATAGAGGTAATATCGGAAAATTTTTGAGATATTCAATACTTAAAATATTAGGCAAATGAAAAGACTTTGAACATGCTGACAAAACTTAACGTAGAGGAAATAGGTATTAATAAGATATTTTTTGTGTGTATTTATCTTTATTGTACATGAGTGGACAAGATTCTGCATGGAACAAAAGATGTAGTAAAACAATGTAATCAAAATAGCAACCGAAGAGCGCAAGCACTACAAAAAAAAAAGGATGTTACAGTAGGCGATACAGTAAACTAGCGCGAAGCTTTATGCTATATTTTCTATATTTTTAAAATTTAAATATTATTTTTTAAATTAAATGTATATTTTAAACAAATTATATTATATCGTTGGTGTAATTCTAATACCTCGTATCCCAGAAAACCTAACTTTTTAGGGGAGTTAAAAACGTTCCCAATGCTAAAAAAACTGAATGATTGCTTCGAACTTTTGCTCATTTGGATTATTGAGTTCAATTAATTATTTATTTTTGTATGTTTTTTGTAAATTAATGTGATTGATTTTGTAAAACTGTGGCTTACGAGTTATTTATGTTCTGTAGTCAGGGAACATTTCACATTACCTTCAAACAAAAAGTTATTAATATTTGTATAAAAATAGTACAAAAGTAATTATTATTCAAGAAAACGAACTTTAAAAATAAAAGTTTACTATTCAGTAGTTACGATTCCACAGGGAGAGAGCCGCAGCTAGAAGAACATTTAGATAGAAAAAGAGACAATATCTGCAGCAACAAATCGAAAAAGTAGAAGGAGAACACAGACGAAAACAAAGTAAAAATTTCTACAGAGAGGTAAGACAACATAAGAGAGGCTCGTATATAAGCACACCCAACTTCGTAAGAGGTAAAAATGGAGAAATGCTGGCTGCCGAAAACAAAATAATAGAAAGATGGGCTGAATATTTTGAAGAGCTCCTGAATATCCAAAATTTCACTGATGAAAACAATGAAAATGGTGGAAACAACGGAGAACATGAGTATCAAACCGTTGAATTAGAAATACCCCCACCAAGCATGGAAGAAATTACGCATGCCATAAAAACGCTTAAAAACGATAAATCCCCTGGTCTGGATAATATTGATGCCGAGCTAATTAAAAAAGGCGGTCATGAACTCATAAGTAAAATCCATCAAATAATAGAAATGGCCTGGCAACAAGAAATAATGCCGAAAGAATGGTGTGGTAGTATTATTGTAGCATTACACAAGAAAGGAAAAAAAGAGTCATGCATGAATTACAGAGGAATCTCACTAATCAACACTACATATAAAATATTGGCTTCGATATTATTAAAAAGATTAGTACCATACGCCGAAGAAATAGTTGGTGACTACCAGTGTGGTTTCAGGCCTGGCAGATCGACTATTGATCAAATATTTACAATAAGACAAATGCTTGAAAAGTATTGGGAATAAAATCACGACGTGCATCAGATTTTTATAGACTTCAAACAGGCTTATGATTCAATTAATCGTGCAACATTATGGAAAGCAATGATCGAGCTCGGCATACCCAAGAAACTAGCTGCAGTAACACAGATGTGTGTAAGTAACTCTTTTACACAATTTAGAATAGGAGGAAAAATATCAAATGCTTTCTGCGTAAATTCTGGACTGAGACAGGGAGATCCGTTGTCCCCATTGTTGTTTAACCTGGCCTTAGAATATGTCATGCAAAAAATATATCAAAAAATCAAACCAGACATAACTGCTCAGAGAGCAAAAATCATACTCGCTTTTGCCGATGACGTAGACGCAGTAGCACAATCAACATTCGAAATTAAGGATATCTTCTCGAGGTTTGAAGAAGCTGCATTAAACATCGGTCTAAAAATAAATGAAGACGACGGGAGACGACGGGAGACGGGAGAGAAATTAGAGCGAGAAGTTCTACTGGGGCTCGGGAGACTGAGATCTCGGAAGCCCTGAGGAAGGCATCAGAGAGGATGCCGAAAGCTCGGCAAAATGGATATCGACGCGGTTCAACCCGGAAGACTGGTGAGTTTGATATTAATTTTAGTAATAATATTAATCTTAGCTCTAAGTTTCATTGTACTAACCGCAGAAATCTTTCCGAACATATATATATATGTATATATATATATATATATATATATATATATATATAATATTATGATCATATCGTGTAAGAAATCATAACATAAACAAAATTCTTACTCTAAAAAAGCGGCAACACTTCAAACAAGTTTGCCACACGCTGAATTGTCTAAACGAATGTTTTGGTTATTTAATCAATATAAAACTAAAATTTCCAATATAATGATGATTACAATTTTCTGATTTTTACACCATGTTGACGCCTATGAAAGATCGGGCAGTTCCGTACGGGTTTCGTATTATTAGTTGTGTTAGGAAAATTTGAACTCTAAGGTTGAAGTTCTGGAAATTTTAAATACAAGTGACGTAACTTTATATAAATTGTGACGTGCAACGTTTTTACTTTGAAAAATGGTATAGACACGATGCTTGTCGTAATAGAGGACGTCCTCCAACAAGGTGATCGGACGACATCGATCGCATCCAGCACAAATGGATTCAAGGTGCTCAAGATCGGATCCAATGGAATTCTTTACGGGAGGTCTATGTTTAGCAGTGGACTTCCAATTTCTTGGATAACACCTTAATGAACATTTCACATTTTTTACTGATTTCATAGGATTTTACTTGTTTTTTTTTTCATTTGTCGTCACTACTGTCGTAACGTCTGTAGCGAACACATTTTCCAGGAAGTTATCAAAGGCAAAGAAAGGACTTATGGTCAATGGGGACGTAATAAATAACATCAGATAAGCAAACGATATTGTGCAGTTGGCAAGAAAATCGGAAGTTCTTTATCAAAGTTTTACCATATATCACAAAAATGTTTACTAAAAATCCTTTATAAAAGGTATATTTATTAAAAACTCTTACCGGCTAAATTACGTAATAAATATTCAAACGTTCAAACGTTTTGGTAATAAATATTCAATCTTCAGTGCTGCTACCTAAAATATCGTTTAGAGAATAATTCTCCGGAAAAGTAACTCTCATTGATAGGTTATGTTGGCACAAAGTGAATCTAACATTCTGCATAATTATCAGCAACCATATAATATAGTACCAATTAAATAACATTTACCGGGGTTTCACCCATATATTTATTGGCTTTATACCCAGTAAGTATTATACCACATAGATGCACATAAATATACAAGAGTAGTCAAAAGTAGAGGCGAAAGATCCATCATAGACTATGTATTAGTAAATAGAACATCGAGGCAATGTATTAAAGACGTAAGAGTAAAACGAGGAGCTAAAATATACAGTGACCACTATCTAGTTGTAGCTAGGACCAGCTTGGTAGTGCGACAAGAATCAATATGAAAGACACCGAGAAAACAAGTAAAGCTCATAATACACCCACTATAGAAGTAATCAGGTCACATAAGCTAGCGGACAAGGAGACAGCAAACAAGTTTGGAAACTACGTTAAAAACTACCTAACAGAGCACGCTGAACATGACTGTGACTTAGACCAAAATTGGCAAATACTGAAAGAAGCACTCCTAAACGGTGGTAAACAAGCATGCAGAATAACAAGAAATAACAAAAGCAAAAAGTGTACAAACTGGTGGAACAATGAAATAAAAGCAGAAGTGAAGTCCAAGAAGATAGCTTGGAAAAATTATTTAAGGAACGGAACTGCAGACAACTACCAAATATATAAACTGCAAAGAATCAAAGTCAAAGATATGGTACTAGCAGCGAAACGGAAAAGTTGGGAAGAATTCGGAAACAAGATGAAAGAAGACTATCACTCTAACGAAAAGTTATTCTTTAAAACCCTGAAGACTTTAAGAACCGAAAAGGCTCCACAAACACCAAAGCAAATAAGGAACAAAGAAGGACACCTACTTCATGACAATGACCACATCCTAGATACATGGAAGCAATGTTTCGAGGATCTATTGAATATCCAAAACGATGTAGACATTATCACAGAAGAACCAGAAGAGGTAGAACTAGAAGACCAAATTCAAGATGAAATAACTATAGCACAAACAAAAGAAATCATACAAAAGCTTAAGAAAAGTAAGGCGGCTGGATTTGATAAAATCACAGCAGAAATGCTTAAAAACATGGGCGACAAGGGCATTGAACAGCTAACAAAAGTATGTAATAGGGCATGGAATGAGAGCCAAATACCAAAAGATTGGGAAGTGGGAGTTATTCTACCCATTTTCAAAAAGGGAGACAGACGCGAATGTAGTAACTACAGAGGAATAACACTACTGAGCATCCCATCCAAAGTATATGAGAGAATACTAGAAAAACGTCTTTTACAAGAAGTCGATTATAAATTGGAACAATCACAGAGTGGATTTAGAAAAGGCAGAAGTATCCAAGATCACATTTTTACTATCAAAACTAATACAAAACGCAAGGAACTCAAGCACAGAGTTGTACCAAGCCTTTATAGACTTAGAAAAGGCATTTGATAGTACTCCAAGGAAGGTGATTGATATATGTTTAAAAAAGAAAGGTGTGAAAACTAAACTCAGGCAAGCCATTATGAGTATATACAGACATACAAGGAACATAATCAGAACCAATAATATGAAATCCGAAGAGTTCACAGTAAATGAGGGTCTACGTCAGGAGGAGTCTTAGGCCCCATACTGTTTAACATTGTCTTGGATGACATAATTAAAGAAACTAGAGCAGAAACATTGAAATTATATGCCGGACATAGAAATCTAGATGCAGTGTGGATCTCAGAGTGTGCATACGCAGACGATCTAGTGATATTTGGGATAAATGAACAAGCACTCAATCGAAATT